GATGGAAACTCAGTCAGCTTTGTAGGGGGGATAGAGGTGGGGGAGTCTCAGCCTTTTTGTCTAAGAGAAAGCTACTCCCAAGTCCTTGTCCTGATGTCAGACAATTTAGTTCCTTCCCATATATCCCTGCATTCTTTCAAGCTATTGACACAATGCAGGAGCCCAGAAGGAGTGAGTCCAAGTATGTCCATATACTGGCTATTTAAGAGAAACTTCCTGTGATTCCAGTAGCCTCTGTGTCACTTAGCCACAATCCACACTGGTTATTATAGGTCTTGCTCCTCACTTGATTCCTCATTAACTAAGACATTTCTCCTGATTAAAAACACACCACAAGTGGTTGTCAGACCAGCCATTCCACACCTCCACCCCTCCTTCCAATCTCAATGTGCTTTTTTACTTCTCTAGTTTCAGGACTTCCATTCAGCCAGATTTTTGGTGGTTCTGAATGATAGTTGCTCTGTATTTTAGTTGTAATTATGATGTGGTGGTGGGAGAATCCAAGTACCAGCATTTACCTATGCTGATATTTTAGTCCCCCCCCACCCCCCGAGGATGTGTCTGTGTTTTTTTTTTTAATTGATTTTAGAGAGAAAAGGAGAGAATGAGAGAAACATTAATGTGAGAGAGAAACATCTATCAGTTGCTCCAGTATGCACCCCAAGCAGGGACTAAACCCACAACCTAGAAAGATATGTACCTTGACTGGGAATCAAACCCGCATCCTTTGGTGTACAGGACAATGCTCCAACCAACTGAACAACATGGCCAGGGCAAAATAGGTATAATTTTTATATAACTACATGATGGCTGTTGTTGTGTTGGCTATTGTCATTTTTTCATTTGACAATCTAATAAAAAAGAAGTCAGTGCCCTGACTAAATAGTCAGATATTACATGTTTTAAAAATATATATATTTTATTTATTTCTTTACAGAGAGGAAGGGAGAGGGATAGAGAGTTAGAAACATTGATGAGAGAGAAACATCGATCAGCTGCCTCCTGCACACTCCCTACTGGGTATGTGCTGGCAACCAAGATACATGCCCTTGACCAGAATTGAACCTGGGACCCTTGAGTCCACAGGCCAATGCTCTATCTACTAAGCCAAACCGTTCATGTTTTAAAAATCCTTGCAGCACACCAGTGTGCTGGAGAAAAAGGGTTATAAGTGCTTCTCTGTGATTCTTTTTTGTTATGCGATAGCTACCTTTAGTATATAGTGAATACACTATTGCTACCTTTAGATCAATGAAAGAGTGAGTATACAGTAGACAACTGAATTGCACAGATTATTCTAAATCCTTCTTTATTGTATACTTGCGATTGAAAATGCTTCTGCTATCAAATCTTTTATCAAGGCTTCTAGCAAGAAGGCATTTTATAAATTTGAATTTCATCTACTGACCATACCCACTTTCTCTAGTGGGAGGTTGTGAGCAGAGAAATTGCTAAATGATTCCAGAGCAGAGAACACAGAAAACATCACAGTTTCTGATAGTTCAACAAATTCTTTGATTTAAGACACTGAGAGGTAAATGAATACATGTTGCTTGAGACTGAAATGACTTTTCCTTGTCATTTTGTGCTGGGTGATGACAGTTACTTTTCTTTAGCAATCACCACATTCCTTTTATGTTCTTAGAATCCTGGATTTGGAAGCAACATCAGAAGTTTATTATGTTTCATTTCCACTTTCCAACAGAATTATACCTAAACTGTCCAAGCTGGATGGTTGTCTATTCTGTTCTTTGTTTGAGGTTGGTCATTGGTACATGATGGAAAGCAGTTGGCTGACAACCTGCTTATGCATGTTATAGTGGGAAGAATTGTGTGGGCCAGGTTAATGGAAACTCAGTCAGCTTTGTAGGGGGGTAGAGGGGTAGTTTTGATAATAGAGGGTGGGGCAAAAGTAGTCTTAACAGTTGTTTGTATGGAAAATAATCCTATATAATACAAGGCTAATGTGCAAATCAATGAACGGAGGAATGACCAGTCGCTATGAGGTGCAATGACCACCAGGGGGCAGACAATCAATGCAGTAGCTGCCACCTGGTGGTCAGTGCACTCCCACAGGGGGAGCACCTCTCAGCCAAAAGCTGGGTTCATGGCTGGCAAGTGCAGTGATGGTCATGGGAGCCTCTCCTGCCTCTGCAGCAGCACTAAGGAGGTCTGACTGCTGGCTTTGGCCTGTTAAGCCGGCATTCAGACATCCCCTGAGGGCTCTTGGACTGCAAGAGGGTGCAGGCTGGGCTGAGCCCTCCCTCCCCCAAGTGCATGAATTTTGTGCACCAGGCCTCTAGTACAACCTATAATAATAAAAGCATAATATGCTAATTAGATTGACCTTCTAGATGAAGCCAGGGCTGCGAGGGAAGTCTGGGTCCCAGGTGCCAGAGGGAAGCTGATGCCAGAAGCTAGGGGAAGAAAGGCCTGCTCTTGCATGAATTTCATGCATTGGGCCTCTAGTAATAATAATAATACAAGAATAAACTCTGTTTTGTGTACTCACAACTAAAAATCTACTGAGGATATTTTCTACTGATTTTTAGAGAGAATAGAAAGGACACATCAATTGGTTACCACCCATATATGCTCCAACTAAGGCTAGTGATCGAGCCAGCAAATGAGGTACATGCCCTTGACATGAATTGAACCTGAAACACTTTAGTCTATTGGCCATCATTCTATCCACTTAGCCAAACTGGCTAGGGCTGTAGATCTACTTTTGATGCACCCTGTTATTATTGTTCACTTAGCAAGTAGCATAGACCATGCACACATATATGGCCATAATCTGGTTAGCAATCTGATGTTCTAAAATGCAAGCAATGAGAGTACATAGAAAGAAAGGATAATTTCCTTTGGAAAACAATATTTTTCATTTATCGGAAATTTGTCATCAAATGTTTGGCACAGAGCCTAGGCCCATTATAAATGTTTGCAAAACAACACACACACACACACACAAAACAACCAAACAGCTAGAGAAATAATGCTGCCTATGAGGAGAATGGGTAACTGTTCTTTGCTTTGTGTGTTCCCAGAGTTCTTTGCACCTATGGATGCTGTATGAGAAAAGAATTCTGGAATCAAATCATTTTGGAAAATACTGAATCTTTCTACCTCCCTTTTGAAGTTGTGATGTACATTAGCACATTAAGCATTTTCAAAGTCACCTGCCTATATCTGATACACTCAGTATTTCCCAAGTCTATTTGCACAGAAACTATTAAGCACCCATATACTTTAGGAAATATTCTCTTTAGGGTTAATTTTTCAGTTTTTTTGCCTGAGGGAATGACTATGTCTTACTCATTTTCTGTGTACATTCTATATGCTAACTGGTAAGTACAGTGACAATGCAGATTTATGCAGGTAAAATGAAAATGGCCTGTATGAGGTTGGATAAGATGACACCAATACTGACCAAAAAAGCTGAATAGGGAGCTGTGTCATAAATGTAAAAATTGTGAACAAGGTCACAGTTGCAATCAGAATGAAAGAGAGCAATAAAACCGACACTAGGTTTTGAATGCAAAGAACCTGTTTTTAACCTGAGCATAAAATCGGAGCTTCTGACACTGCTATTGAAGACCCTCAGTTCATCTTCCTTGATAATTATAATATCCCTCTTGACCTATGTTGTCAAGCCTTACAAACAAAGTAAGCACTGATGACCAAGGCAGTACCTCATTCATACTTAATGCTTATTATCAAACTGTTATAGAAATTTCATTCTTAAACCTATAGCCAAGTGGTTATTTGGAAATAAGAGATTAATTGGAAAAACTAGCTGGCACCTACACATATTTTTATTTAGTGACTTTAAGTAATGTTTTGTTCTCCCACTTTACTACTGTAAGTCTTATAGCTCCTGGATATGTCAGGGTAGTGTCACCAAGGATTGACAAATAGTGGAACTTGTAGATGAAACTATAATCAAACAAACAGGGAGGCTTAATAGTAAACACAGGTCAAAGAATCTAACACCTGAGGAAGGTTTGACTATGGTTCTCAGATATCCAAAGGAAATGCTATTAGAAAGTCTGTTTCCTACAGGTCTGAGTGTGTGCTTTTCATTGGACACTTTAGGATTTGCTCCTAGGGGTCACAGGAAATTGAAATGAGATAGAAATCAGCAGTGATCCCAGTGCCTTGTGTTGATATCATACACATTGTGAACAAAGTAGCACATCTAGAGTCAGAGATCAATATACTTGAAATTATTCATTTTGACCACATTTCCTTGAAAAGTGGCATTTAGCTTTCAAAGTTATTGGAGAATTATAAATTGAATAACTATCAAAAGGTTGTTTTAAAACCTTTCTTTTACATGACTATAAGAAGTTGATGGCATTTTAAAGTTGAGCATAGCTTGAGTAATGGGTATACAGTTACCTTCATCTGCATATCTAAATCTCAGTAATAACGATCTTTTTTCTATTATTTTTCTATTGTTATGAAGGGTTACATTTTTGTTCCAACTAGATGTAGAAGGAGTCTAAAGGATATAATTATATTCATATTATGATACAGCTATTTTTCTTCTGTTGTCACCCCAGTGAACATCATGAGCATATTATGGCATCAGTTTCTAAAAAACATATTTGTTGCTAAAATCATATGCTGACTTTTATTGCTATCAAGGAATATTATGTTCAGAAGAAAAAAGGGGTGCACCTTTTCTACATGTTGCTGCATTCAGTCTATTATAAAAATAAAGGGATCTTACCTCCGAGCCTATTAATATATCAAATAATAAATGTGACAGGTAATAGTTCTATTTTCCTAATCCTGTCTTCCTGCACAACTGCAACATAACATGTTTCTTACTAGTAACAGATGCTGGAGACCTTCCTTTGAAATTCCTCTGGAGAAGCTGCGCTGTTGATTGCATTAGACAGGAAGTGGCTTCATGCAGATGTCGACTTGCTGGTGTATTGTAGTAATTGCTGTTCTGTTGACCCCTTGCTGAGTGCCATGATTTTCTCTTGTAGGTGATGTGCCTTCAGGACTTTTTTGGTGACGATGACATTTTTATTGCATGTGGACCAGAGAAGTTCCGTTACCAGGATGATTTCTTGCTAGATGAAAGTGGTAAGGAAAAAAAAGTTCAAAACCAGGGGAAATTTGAGGCAGCTTTCCAAAATGAGCTGCACCAGGCCAAGATCATGTCAACTCTAAAGCTACCAAATCAGTTTCAGATCCTCACCCAGTATGTCTTTTCCATATCTTGAATTTCTTTGATTTTTTTTAATATAGAAAACAGATGAAATGATCATTGGAAAGGTTATATACATTAGAAGGGTAAATAATGAATGGCTAATTTATAACCACTTAATAACTAAAATGATGTCCTAGAAAAATCATGTGTGGATTTCTACATTTTAAACTGTATATTTTCCTCAAAATTTATATTTGAGATATTTGTAATCAGAAAATTATTGAGTATGTTTCTAGGCTCATCTTTCAGGTGACTTCCTTTAGTTCCTAACTAAGAAAGTGACTTGGTGTCTCTTTTCTTTTAAATACTTCAGAATTTTATGTCATCACCATATGTGAGGGATAAAAAAAAAAGAGCACTGTGGCTTCCTTCCATTAAAAATGAAATGTAAAAAAGGTACCATTGGTAAACAGGGAAAGACACCTTCTAGGAAATGAATATCAAAGGTTGTAACTCAAGAATTATGTTTTTTTTAATATTATAAATCATCTCAGAACCTTAATACCATCATGGAAAAAGTTATTAAAAAGGCCTTTCCATGATAATATTACTTCTAATTTAATTAGGGCACTATTGCATACTTATTGACAATTCAAATTCTAGCTAGTTGGAAATTATTTTTGACTTTGGAAATTATTTTTGAAGTGAATGAATTTTTGCTTAGATAAATTCAGTTAAACAAATTAACTTTTAGCAAAGTGGCTGGGAAATACCTGAGCACTAACATAATATGATGAGTAATGTAATATTTCTTCTCTAACATGCTGCTATATATTCACATAGAGTATGTTATATGCATATACACATATCAGTTACATGGGTTTAAACACTGTAATTATTTCATCACTTAAAAGTGATATAGAATGTGTAGGGAGAGATAAGAAGAAGAAAGGTTATCTTTTTATTGTAAAAATTTCAAATGCCCGTCCTGAAAGTGTCATTTGAAAGATTGAAGTCATTTTGGTTCAAATTTTTTAGCAGGAATAGTGGTTTGGTACCTCTTTTCCTATAAATAAGTTTTCTTTACCAAATATGTTCTGTCATTATCTCTAATAGGCATGCCTTTTGGGGGCAAAGATTTAGGGGGAGATTTCTCTCCATCCCACCCTTGTTCAGGCAGCTTTGCTATTGTGTGGAACAAATGAGTGTTAGGGGTCAAGCAGAAGAGCTGACAGCATAGTTTTTGGGGGGAGGGGGAAACTGTCTTGACTTTCAATTTAAAGAAAATAACTGCTTCTAATAGAATGGTCTGAGAGACCAGATGCATTCTGAAATGAAAGTTTCATTTGTTGCTTTGATATAGAAAACAACCTGTCAGACTGGAATTGGTATATAGCTCACTTTCACATCAGCAGAGTTGACCTGGGGTTACCAAGCACCCAATATCTTTTTACCCCATGTTAGAATCCTTTCTCATTAAAAAGGATTCACACAGATCTTTATCTCTATTTTCTTATCTATGTCTACGTATCATCTATTTCTATCTATCTGTCTATCTATCTATCTATCTATCTATCTATCTATCTATCATCTATCATCTATCTATGTATCTATCTATCTCTCTATCGGCACAGCGGTGCACATCACACATGCATCAGGACAACTTGCTATAATTGTGGTTGGCCCTTTGCAGGCCCACTTCAAATTGTTTGAGAGAGAAAGTGAGAACTTCACATCCTTTCTCCTGATGAATATACCCTATTTTTTTAATCTGAAATATATTTGCTGAGTAACTATGTTCTCCCCCATCCTAAAAGAAACATGTGGATTGGGGGAGAGAGAATCTAAATTAAAATTTTATTTCCTTGGATGAACTTAACCCTGGAACTAAAATCACACATTGACAAGTGCAATTTCCCTGTTGCTTGTATGGCATGTTTTAATGCTAATATATTAAAATTTGAATCTTTTGGAAAGTGCTCTGAGCATAATTTAGCCTAGCTTCTATGTACTTCCTAAATGGCATTTGCACATTGAGGCTTCCTTTGGCCTGTTCCCAATAGCTTCCTGTACTGCTGCTGATACTGACATCTTCAGAATTAATACTTACCCAGTACTGTGCTTGATTTAATGGTGCCAAGAAGTGGCCTTTTGCTACAAGGCAATATTTTTATTTTATCTTTCAAAATTAACCCAGCTCCCAGTGTGTTCAAGAATAGCAATAATACATCCCTCTAATTACTGCTGGAAAAATTCCTGGAAGCGGCTCTTAAGGTCTTACCGGTGAGGAGTTTACCATTAGGGACTTGTATTTCATGGGATACACTAGAGCCAGATGAATATTAGAAACTGCAAGGAGCCTTCTTCCTCCCTTAAGTTTTCACATGGAAAAAAACACACATACACACACAAAAACCCCCACACACATACAAAAACATCTTCCTGTTTCCAGCTCAAAATATAACGGTTTTAGTGATATCATTATCAATGAAGGAGTCTCAGCACCTTCAAAAATGGTGAATAAAGTTCTATATAGAAAGACAGATAGGCAAACAGATCCTTCTCTAACATGGCTTGCTATCTAATTTAGAATGATGAAACATCATCCAGGAAAATGTCAAATTGGAGATAGGAAGCTTAACATGGTTTTACCTATATATTGATGATAAGTTGACAAGTTTTTTATTTGTTGCCATTAAAAATTGGTAAGATTTTGTTGAGAAATGCCTGTCTCACACTTGGGAGGGACAGTTAACTCCTTGGTAATGTCACAGGATGTCAACTTCTGTCACTCCAACTCCCAGCCTCAACACTGATGCTCCTAAATTTGCTTGGCCAATTTCTTTACCCATTCACCTCACTCCTAACTATCTGTCATCCTCTTTAATTTTGTTTTAACTAATTTATTAGTGCTCTTGATTCTGATGTTTCTAGGCATTGCATTAAATATACACTACAGGCTCAGTACATGAAATTCGTGAACTGGGGGGGAGGGTTCCTTTAGCCCAGCCTTCACCCTCTCCAACCTGGGACCCTTCAGGAATGTCTGACTGCAGTTGGACATCCCACTCACAATCTGGGACTGCTGGCTCCTAACCACTTGCCTGCCTGCCTGCTTGATTGCCCCCAACTATCCTCCCCTGCCAGGCCAATGGCCCCCAACTACCCACTCCTGTCAATCCAATGGCACCCTTTCCCTCCCCTGAAGGCCCAATGGCCCCCAAACAAATGCCCTCCCCTGCAGGCCTGATCACCCCCAACTGTTCTCCTCTGTTGGCTTGGTCACCCCCAACTGCCCTCCCCTGCCAGCCATCTTGTGGTGGCCATCTTGTGACAACGTGGGGGTGGCCATCTTGTGATGGCGTGAGGGCGCCATGCAAGGACAAGAGAGCCATCTAGGCTTTTATTAGTATAGATATTTTTGCTTAGATGTGTAAGTTTCCTAAGACTGTTGTAACAAAATTCCTCAAACTGGGAGTTTAAAATAATAGAAATTGATTCTTGAACAATTCTAGAGACCAAAAGTTAAAAATCAAAGTATGGAAAACACTATGCTCCCACAGATTCTGGTTTCCAGTCATGGCCAGCAATCCTTGGCATCACTGGGCTTGTCCTAGCATCACTCTGATCTCTACCTCCATTTTCAAGTGGACCTTTCTATATGTACAAAATTGCTTCTTCTTATAATGACACTAGCTGTTGAATTAGGGCCAACCCTAATCCAGCTTGACCTCATTATAACAAGATGACATCTACAAAGACCTTACTTCTAAGTAAGGTCACATAGTATAGGCCCCAACATGTCTTTGGGAAGGACACAATTTATTCCACCACAGATGTGGTTTGAACTTGTCCAAACTTAATTTTAACTTGAGTTACAAGTAAACTAATTTCTATTTGTTTGTTTTCACCTGTCTTTAGATTTGCACAGCTATAGTTCTATATTCATTATATAGAACAAAGTTGCTCCTCATCTGACCTTTTATAGGTAGGGTAACCTGATAGATCAGAGGAATGAATACTGTGGGTTGGTCTGAGCCCCTTTGACTAAGATGAAAATATATTGTCTGAATGCTACAGGTGGTTGTATTTTTAATTGAACTCCCTTGTCCAAAAGGTACTGATTTCTAGGTCTTTGTCAAGTGTGCTGGAGGAGATGTCTGTTAGAATTGTCCCTTAATGTCTCTGAAAGGAGTGATTGTTTGATGAGATTCACAGCACAGGTTTCTGTATCCTTCAGCATTGTCAGAAATGCCCACTGGAAAAGCTGATGGTGTGTGAATGAAATCATATGGGAGGGAAGCTAATGCAGCAAAAGACAAGGACCCCCAAGTGTTTTACAGGAGCATTTTAAGTGTCTTCTTAGTTTCTAAGAAGATAAAACTGAATTGGTACAAACAAAAAGTAATGCCAGTGGTCCCGGATTGCAAGAAAGATGTCCTGAATTGGAGAGGATGCAGGCCAGGCTGAGGGACCCCTCTCTCCATGCACAAATTTTGTGCACCGGGCCTCTAGTCCTATATAATGAAAGGCTAATATATAAATCAATCACTCCTTTCAGAGACATTAAGGGCCAATTATAACAGACATCCCCTCCAGCACACTTGACAAAGACCTGGAAATCAGTACCTTTTGGACAAGTCAAAGGGGCTCAGTGGAAAGACCAGTTGCTATGACACACTGACTACCTCAATGCAGGAGCTGCCCCTGGTGGTCAGTGAGCTCCCACAGTTGGGCTCATGGCTGGTGGTGGGAGCCTCTCCTGCCTCCGTGGCAGTGCAGCAGATGTTCAACTGCAGACTTAGGCCCACTCCCCAAGGGGACATCCCCCAAGGGTTCCTGGACTCTGAGAGGGTGGAGACTGGGCTGAGGAACCTCCCTCCAATGCATGAATTTTGTGCACTGGGCCTTTAGTATATTATAAAACTTTTCA